TGCAATAATAAAACCTACACTCATCAGTTTTTAGATAACATGATTATTTTTGCACATCCACAAAATTTGTTACAGCAGTGCAACTTCCTTTCATTATTTAATCGATGGCTGTGTTTTTTCTGATGACTTTGCACCATTTTCTAACCATTAATGACTCCCTTATTTAGGGCTACTATGCATTTTGCTGAATTTTTTTAATAGCATTGTACACAGGCAAGGCAAAGAAATGCACTTTAAGACATGTCCTACTGATTTTGCCAACTATATCTGATTGTTTGGCTCTACCTCCGCTTTCTTCTAAAACAATATCCAGTTCTTAAAATCATCAGTGTATAGATGTGCATATATACATGCATGTATGTATATGTATGTGTACACACACACACACACACACACACACACACATATTTCATAAATTTAGTGCTTCATGGCATTTCATTTACTGTAACAGGTTGCAATATTTTAGTTGCAGTAAATCACTAGTTGTCTTCCACTGCAGTACATAACTTTAAAATCTTGGATGCTTCAATACCAACTTCAATGTTTACATATGAGAGCTTATTTTACAAGGCTATATGAAGCAGATCCACCCAAAGGCACTGACTCAGTTCAAACCATGACAGCAATCTAATTTACTTGGACTCAGAAAATCACATTGCTCTTCTGATGCATTAAATATAAGCACTGAAGTGGACCTATGTATGCTTTGCCGTGCATACAAAGAAACCCCTTTTAGCATGTTGATCAAAACTGTGAGACTGTATCTTATTAGTTGAAGTTGAAGAAGGGCATTTTAACCAAGATTTTATCAAGCTGAAGTGCTCCTCTGAAGCTCTAAAAAGCTTTATTATTTATCATGGTTTTCAAAACTACGTTTCAAAAAACTATGTCCATAGGTTTACTAGGTGTGCTGAACTTCGATTTCAGCTCTAAAAAAGTTAGTTAGAAAGGGTGGATAGTTCAGCAATTCATTTTTATTTATTTAACAAACCTTATATGGCTGCCCAACACAGTCATAGTGACTCCAGGCAGCTTACAGAAATAAAAATCCCAAATACAAAATAAATTTCCATATCCCTGGTGGCAACAATCAAATCAAGTACAATCAAACCAAGTACCCTGATGCCTACAGACTCACTGGCAAACCCATGTCTTCAGAGCCTTTTGAAAGAGTGTCAAAGTGGAGTCTGGTCTTATTTCCGAAGAACTAATGTTCCGTGGGAAGGAACCAACACATAGAAGGCTCTTCTGATATACCCATTATTCATTAGTTCATTATATCTTATTGACAAATGAACACTATAGTTTAAAACTTAATGCCTGCCTAGGTTAATAATACACAATGAGTACAAGGAACATTTAGAATTCAAAACAAAAATAACTGGTTAAGAGTTGCCTTTGATTCATGGCATAACAAAACTGTTATGTGAAAATCCAGTTTTAGTCAATTCTAAATGACTGTGAGATTAATTGACTGAAAAAAAGGGGAAATGCATATTCAAATATTCCAAGGTACAGTATCATCGACTTCATATACAGATAATGAATGGGAAGACAGCATCTCTTTGATATTTATTAAATCACGCATATCTTTTTTTCAGTTCCTGGCCAGCCTGAAAAAAGATGCTGCTGCTGCTTCAGTGAACTGTATCATTAAACAGAGTGTCATTGATATAACTCTTAAACCAGCAGTATCTCTTTTGAGGTTCACACAGAAACCTAAAAAATGATTCATATGCTTTAAAGAAAAATGGAGAGGAACACCATATATGCAAGGTAAAAAGGATTATTAGATAAGATAACTTTTATTGTCATTTTTTTTTACTGTGGGCACAACAGCACACATCAAAAATGAAATTTAGTTGCCCGCTCTCAAAGTGATTTCCAATCATTTTCTATGCCATTTTCTAACTCTAATATAGGTAATCCTTAACTTATGTTTCACAATAGTTCAAAATTATAATGGCCTTGGAAAAAGTGTTTTACAATCTGTACTTACTCTTACAACTATTGCTCACTTTCACAGTCACGTTTGAAATTTGGGCACTTAGCAACCAGCTCACATTTATAACCAGCTGCAATGTTTTAGTCATTTACAACCTTTTTCATCTATTTCTAGCAAAAATCTCCATTGGAGAAGCTGGACTTATGATCATAAAATTGGGTCTAGTCATGTGATGATTCACTTTATATCAGTGGTTCTCAACCTTCCTAATGCCGCAATCCTTTAATACAGTTCCTCATGTTGTGGTGACCTCCAATCATAAAATTATTTTTGTTGCTACTTCATAAATGTAATTTTGCTACTGTTATGAATCGTAATGGAAATATCTGATATGCAGGATGTATTTTCATTGTTACGAATTGAACATAATTAAAACATAGTGATTATGCTTTCCTCTCTCTCTCTCTCTTTCTCTCCCTCTCTCCTCTCCCTCTTTCTCTTCCCTCTCTTTCTATCTTTCCCCTCTCTCTCTCTCTTTCTCTTCCTTTTTCCTCTCCCTCTTTCTCTCTTCCCTTTCTCTTTCCTCTCTCTCTCTTTCCTCTCCTTCTCTCCCTTTCTCTTTCCTCTCCCTCTCTTTCTCTCTTCCCTCTTTCTCTTTCCTCTTTCTCTTTCTATCTTTCCTCTCCCTCTTCTGTCTCTTTCTCTCTTTCCTCTCTTTCTCTTCCTCTCTTTTCTCTTTCCTCTCCCTCTTTTTCTCTTCCCTTTCTCTTTCCTCTCTTTCTCTTTCCTCTCCCTATTTCTCTTTCCTCTTTCTTTCTCTCTTTCCTCTTTCTTTCTCTCTTTCTTCTCCCTCTCTCCCTTTCTCTTTCCTCTCCCTTTCTCTCTTCCCTCTTTCTCTATCTTTCCTCTCCCCCTCTCTCTCTTTCCTCTCTGTCTCTCTTTCTTACCTCTTTCCTCTCTCCCTCTCTCTTCCTCTCTTTCCTCTCCCTCTTTCTCTCTATTTCCGCTCCCCCCCTCTCTCCTCTCCTCTCCTCTCCCCTCTCCCCTCAATATCTCAGGTTTTCCCTTTCAGTGGCTCTGGGCAGGTTAGAGTTCAAAGATGTATTACAATTAAAAATACTAAAAACTTTTAAAAAGAGCAATGAAAGCAAAACCAATAAAAACAACAGAAGCATCCAAATTAAGTGACCATGCTGGAATAAGACCCATAATAATTGGGCCATGAGGTGCAACTTCCCCCCAGGAGGCAGAAAGAATTCATGCAAGCAGCATTTTGGAGCCGTGCAAGTCAGCCCGGGGTTCGGTCGGGCCCTCCCGGGCGCAATTAGGGGCAGCTCCACGGAGTCCTGGGTGCCTGTCTCATGGAAGAAGCCGGCCGGGAGCCAATTAGTGGGCCCGCTAGGAGGCAGCTGACGTGGACATCCCCACAGTGGGCAGGCAGCCCCCGAGCCGGACGAGATTCCTGGCCAGCCGGCCATGGGGCGGGAATGGCTCCCTCACCGGGTCTGCTCAGCCTTCCAGGGCCAAACCCTGCTGAGCTCTGCCTGCCGCAGGAGGGCGAGCTGGGCCAGGCTGGGCAGCGGGAAAGGAGGTGTGCTGCAATTTGCACAACCCCAATCCCGGTCCAGAGGATGCCCCCTCCCCAGTGGATGGGGGGCTGGGAGGGGGAAGCCCCTTTCCATGCCCAGAAAGCAGCATTTCCTCTCCTGCTTCGGGCCTGGGAAAATGGGCGGAGGTCCCAGGAAGGCCAAGCATGGGAGGGCAGGAGGCAGAAGGCGCTGAAAGGCGCCTGGGGCACCACGGACCAGACCGGGACGCTGCCCCCCATCGGGACTGAAGCAATGCCACTGCCCCAGCCAGGACTGCTGCCCAGCCTGGGGAGACATATGGCCGGCTCAATTCCCCTGCCGGCTGCCGGCCGCCATCCCCGCTGGGACCGAACGATGCCGCCGTCCCAGCTGGGATTGCCGCCCAGTCTAGGGAGACGTGTGGCTGGCTCAGTGGCCTGGGAACAATGGCGGCCAGCCAGGACCCAATGCCCCTGCCAGCCACCGGCCCCAACAGCTGCCGGCCCCACCAGGACCAAAGTGATGCTGCCGCCCCAGCCAGGACTGCTGCCCAGTCCGGGACATGGCCAGCTCAGTGGCCCAAGGACGGCCCAGGAACCAATGCCCCAGCTGGCCGCTGCCCCAGCCAGGACTGCCGCCCGGCCCAGAAACACGCGTGGCTGGCTCAGCAGCCCAGGAACTGCCCAGGAAGCTCCTGCCGGCCACTGCCCCCACTGGCCTGGGAGACACATGGCCAGCTCACCAACCCAGGGACAGCCCAGGAACCGCCTGCCCCTCCGCCTCGTGCAGGTAAGCCAGGGGGCCGCACTACCTGCCCTGAGACTGCTTCACGGGGTGCTCCATGGACTCAAAGCCCCCTCCCTACCCCTGCCATTCACCCTCCATCTCCGGCTCTGCTGCTGCTTGGCCAACTGGGGCCGCAGCTTGCGGGAGGGCTGGCCTGCTCAGCGGGGGCTCTGCTGGGCCACTCCCAGCGGGGATCCCAGGGCTTCCCTGTACAGTTCCCCAGCCACATGCACTTCGGTCGGGGCCAGCCAAGGAAAGGGCCTTCTCCCAGGGGGCAGGGCACCCGGCCGCAGGGCCAATCAGGAGCTCTGCGAGGGGGCAAGTCTGCATGAGAGAAGGGAAGTGCAACTGCCCCCCCTCTCTTTCTCTCTGCAAATGGCAGAGAAGGCTCCGGAGCCGCAGGTTAGGCGATCCCTGTGAAAGGGTCATTTGACTCCAAAGGGGTCACGACCCACAGGTTGAGAACCACTGCTTTATATCCTTTGGCTTCCAAACTTGGCACTTCCCTCCCTCAAACTTCTATGCTGCCCAATTTGCAACAATTTTTATTAAACTTTGTGGCTGAATACCCACTCTGAATTTAATAAAACCAGAGGAAAGAACAGGACGAGAAGCACACTAATTTGTTTGAAATATGAAAGCTATCCAAAACTATACCCTTTCCAGAACTTTTTGGCTATTCAACAAGGTATCAAACTTACCTAATTCTGGAGGCAATACTGTAAGACGGTTTCCTTGGATATGAAGTTCTTTAAGCTGTGTGAGTTCCCCAATTTCTTTTGGGAGTGATATCAAGTCATTATCCCTAAAGCTAAGCTTTACAAAAAGGAAAATATTTAAGAGTTAATCAGAGAAACAATCTGCATATACAAAATATATTTAAATAAGAGATACTGCATATGCACAACATGCTAAGGTTAGTTAGGCTTAACTTGGTTGAACTGAATATGTAGTTTATCATGTAGCATAAATCCTGATTGCTCAAATTATCATTCAATGTATATATACTAGAAAATAGGTCAATTTAGTAAGGAGATTAAATGTACTACATGATGAAGCTGTCAGGTCAATTCTCAGCTCAAAAGATGTAGATCAAGACTTGCCACAAACACAACTAGCTCTTTTCCTTTTTGCTACTTCACTCCACCCATTTTTCCCATGTATGCATAAGTACTTTCTGATTAAAAATAGACAATAACTCCTACAAACTCCCATGACTTCTTGCAAATTGATTTGATTCTACTCAAACTAGGACTGCAAAAATAAATTGATTTCCCCCTCCCCCCAAGAATTTAGATAAATTACTTACTATCTGCAACTTCGTGAGCTTCCCAATATCTGATGGCAGGGTTTCAAAATCGTTGTCACTTAGATAGAGTGCACGCAGGGTGGCTGCAAATTAAACAGCAATATATAAACAGGGTGGCATACAACCCGACCATTTGAAGCCTGATCAATGAAAATGTGTCAGGTTTGATTAATAACCCTGACTTGGTGAAAAGCCTTTGACATACCCAAGGCTCACAATAATAACAAGCAGGTCAAACTTAGATTTACTGGCTTATGTACTATTGCTCTGCTCAGGAAAACATCTATATCCAAAAGGGCGGGCCGACATAATTAACAAATTCTACTACATTGCTCTCTGGCAGATTGTAGCACACCACCGCAATACTAACTTGTCAATACAGAAACTATCCAAGTTTATTACTAACCATTATTCAAATTAGCATTCATAATCTCCATGTTAGATTTGTGAAATAAGAAGCTGTTAACATATCTTTTTTTAAAAAAAAATAGACTAGGATATTATTTCTTAAATATGTAGAAGTAATTAGAGAGGCACAACTCCTCTCCCTAGATGAGGAAGGAGCCCTCAAGAGAGAGAAAATGGCAAATGAAGGCAAGTTGAAATCTCCAAGAGCATTTTGACAGAATGCTTCTTGAGTCAAAATACAATAAAACAATGTTATGAGCTAGCTAGCTCTCAAAAATTATTTAGGTATAATTTGGGTATGATTTAGGGAAAGACTGCATATATTGGTAAATAACTGGTAAGACTGCATATACTGCTTCAGCTCATTAGCACTCATTCATTAATTGGATGTATTTCTTGATTGAGGCTTGTGGAAATTTTGTCCCCCTAGTAGTAAGCATTGTTTCCTGTCTAATTAGCTAACAATTATTATTTTACAATATTTACAATATATAGTTAATTGTCAACATGCTATTTAAAATAATTTTTATTATATCAGAGTATTTGCAATATAGAACATTACTGCAATATTGCTGAAATGTTTTATGTACTTAAACTATATTAATTGATAATATTGTAACATAATCGCTATACTGTATCTTCTTCTTGGAAAAAAAGCACATCCCTTTTTCTTGACTAGATTCTTTGATAAAACATTTGGTGGAATTTAAGATGTGAAATGTTGAGAAATGGTGCATTAGAACACAAACAAATAAAAAATTATGTATGCATCATAAAAAAAATGGAAAGTGGGATCATTTTAACAGAACAAAGATTTAAATAATTTGGGTTAATTGTATTCTTTTCATTCTGTCTTTCAACAATATAGTTGTTAAACAAACTGTTTAGCTCAAAAAATATTTCAATCATTCTAAGCATAGGGCTCTAAGAAAACACTTCATGGAACATTAATAAGATATTAGACATTTGAAATGTCTAAGCACATTTCAAAAATAGTAATCATATTCAAAGCTGAGCAGAGATTATATCTCTCACACTTACAGAAAAGCAAAGTTTATTTTAGTTTTTCATTTTCAAGCTTTAAATTGTTCCATCCCATTTCTGTCCCAACCTGTGAATGTTTTAAATAATCAAACCCACAAAAATATTCCATATATTTTGTGAATGTTTTTGCAAGAATATTTTTAAATTTTTAAAACTGAATTGAGTTTTTTAATTGAGATTTTGAATATAAATAAACAACAAAGTCTTTTCGTGTTCTGTCACAATCTCAACATAGTGATATTGGGAAAGGGGGAAAAAAGATGGCTTCCTCACCCATTTCTTTGTTACAAACAGGTTTTGTTTCAATTTTGAGGTGTTTCTTAATTTCTGGTTAGGGGAGGCTAGCTTGGGACCATGATTAGACTTAGCACTGAGCCCTAATCCTTCATTCTAAAGTAAATTGAAATTGTAGAGTTTCATCTTTGTTTTTCAAAGAAAAAAGCTTCTTGGGGGGGGGGATTTCTTTGTGAATCACAAATTTGAGATCCTGTGATTTACTGAGAGCCATATCAAAAATGATATATTTACTGAATGGCACTTTCAAAAATAAACTTGATATGCTTGTATATTTAGTTCTGTGTCTCTGCTTTCTTGTCTGCCTACAGAGATATATGCACCTTCCCAGAAAATAGAAGAAAGCATCACTGAGCCTTGCTGAAATGAATGCATTTGCCTGATGATACCAAATGCTAATTGAAAACATGATATTTATAATACATAGAACTAAGAGTTATTGAAAGAAAGTAATCACAACTTGGTTGCTAGCTAGCATTCCGTGACACAAACAGCAGCTCCTGTAATGGTCCCAGCATAGTGCTGCATTTCCCAACTTTCATTTTACAAATGCTGAATGAAATTCAAGGAAATATGACCGAAGCGCAGCTGATCAAACACACCTGTTTGTCCATTTGTTCCACAAATATCAGGTGACTATAGATCAAAGGATACAGATCACCAAGCTATGTAGAAATATTCAAGAGGACTCGGAGGAGGAAACATATATCTCAAACATTCTTTTTAGAAAACAGTCTTTCTCAAATAAATCAGTTGGAGAAAGCAAAGTAACTTTTCAAGATGATTTAAAGTTTTGTTTGTTTGTTTGTTTTAAAAGATGAGTTCTTACTTAGATAGAAGAAGTTTCCAGGCAGGGACTTTTCATTTAAATTATTGTAAGTCAAATCAAGAACTTCCAGAGCTGGTAAAGAGCCAAATCCTCGTGGCAAGGTGTTGAGCCTGTTCATCCTAAGAATGAATGCAGGTTGTAAATTGGCATTATTTTTGATACATAAGAAACAGTGACATTTCACATGATATACGTAGCCTGCATCAGCGTTACTATATTTTAAAATCCATATGGAGAGTCCTTTCAATAATATCTTTCACAATCCCGAACAAGAAGCTAATACTGTAATAAAAAACCCTGATCAAACATATATACCAAAAGGCAGGAAGAATTATATAAAAAGTCCAATTAATAAATGGGCATCCTTAAAAAAAATCATGTGGCTTTGATAAACTTTCAAGATGGATGTTACCTCTTCTCAAGATCAGGAAATAAGAGTACCGTATATTCCGGCGTATAAGACGACTGGGCGTATAAGACGACCCCCAACTTTTCCAGTTAAAATATAGAGTTTGGGCTATACTCGCCGTATAAGACTACCCCTCTTTCAACGCACACCAAATAAAAATTAAAAAACATCAGATTTGATTTCAATATGGTAATTTTAATTCAAATGCTTATGGCATAAAGGTACTTAGCAGGAAAACTGTCACTTATAAACATAAGGCTGTTTGTCATCAAACATGTAAACATAAAACAGTGCAAGTGATTAAACTTTTCCTAATTCACTCTAAAGCTGAAAGGAAGGATAAGACAATAAACCCATGGGAGCTGCCATGCTATTTGTTTTCTAAGCTGTCAACCAAACTGGAACTGATGATGATAGGAGGAAGATAACAAACAATAGAGAGAGCAAGTGCCGGGCAAGTCCCTGGCGAGTCAGCAACGCCCATCATAACTGCAAGCTATTTTTATAGGTTTTGCTGGCATAATACTTTCCCTTTAAAAGCCTTTAAAATCATCCTGTTCATCATCTGATATCATAAAAATATCAATGACATCTTGTGATACATTTGCAAGGCAGTCATCGTATGGATCGAATTCCGTATCAGATGGTGTGGTCTCAGCTTCGGCTTCCTCTTCATCTTGCCACAAGTAGTCGTCCTCCATACCATCTAATGAATTTGATATGCCACACTTCTTGAAAGACTTGATTATTGTTTCTGCATCAATATCATTCCAGGCTTTTATGACAAACTTGCACAAAACATCCAATTGTGGAGCACGCATGTTTCCTCCTTTTGTGAATGACTTTTCGCCACTAACCATCCATTCATTCCACTGTTCTCGAATGCGATCTTTAAATGGCTTGTTTAGGCATACATCCAGTGGCTGTACTAACGATGTTAATCCTGCAGGAATAACTGCCACATCTGTGTTTAGTCTTGCAAGCTTTTGCTTGGTGCTGGGAGTTAAATGAGCCCTGAACATATCCCACACCAGTAGACTACGTTTTTGAATAAGTCCACCTGGTCGCCTGCTCCATACATTATCAAGCCATAGCTTTACCCCTTCTTCATCCATCCAGCCTTTTTCATTCACATGTACAAAACAACCAACAGGGAACTTGAGTTTTGGCATTGTTTTTCTTTTAAAAATAATCATTGGTCTCAGTTTGGCACCATCAGCTGTGCATGCTAGTACCACTGTAAAACTGGACTTCTCATGTCCTGTTGTTTTAATTAAAATTGTTTTTTCACCTTTCTGATGGACAGTTTTATTTCCAACCATATCAAAATTCATTGGAGTTTCATCCATATTTCCAATACTACTTAATGCATAGCCATGTTTAATGCGCTGTTGTATTATGTATTGATGGAAACTAATTACTTTGCTATCAAGATCTGCAGGTAATTTTTGTGCAATTTTCGTCTTTTGCCTCAGTACCATATTATGCCTTTCCAAGAATCTAGTACACCAGGATGCAGTGGCCTTAAATCTGTTGCTGTGATCTGGGTTAGATTTGGCCCACTGAAGTGCAAACAAACGTATTTTATTTCGTGTCACTACATAACCGTTTTGGCGATGCTCATTCACCATGTCTGCTACATGTTTTTCAAGTTCTGGCCAATGTGGGGTGCCTCTTCTTAATGCACACTTACCCCTTGGCATACTCTTTAATGCTTTTTCATTTGCCTTCCAGTCCCGAACCATCTTTTCTGTTACTCCATATTGTCTTGCAGCAGCGCAGTTATTATGTTCCATGGCAAAGTTTACAACTTTAAGTTTGAAACTGGCTTCATATTTCCTTCTTCTTGCTGGTGGAGCCATGATAGGGTCTTGACTATTGGACATTTGTATACTGTACTGTATGTATTGGTGCTGTACTGTATGAACTGGTACAGATACTGGTGCTGTACTGTATGTACCCAGTATACAACAACCAGCCAATCACAGCAAGCGATGAACCTTAGCTGGTTGTTGTATACAAAGCCTGCTTGGATTGGGTGGATCAGCTCTCCCTGCCTGCCCAACCCTTCCTGTCATCTTATAGGCCAGGGGTAGGCAACCTTGGCTCTTTTATGACTCATGGACTTCAACTTCCAGAATTCCTGAGCCAGCTATGCTGGCTCAGGAATTCTGGGAGTTGAAGTCCATGAGTCATAAAAGAGCCAAGGTTGCCTACTCCTGTATAGGCCCTAGGGAAAAAATGGACAAGCTAATTCCATGAGGGAGGGGGAAAGGGAGCACAGTTTCTGAGTTCTCATTGGCCACCTGTAAGTCCAAATGAGTAGCTCAGGGTGTGTGCGTGCACATGTAGGCATGCGTGTGACTCCCTGGGTCCCTTCCATTGCCCTCCCCCCAGTAGCAAGCTTTGGCTTGGAGCAAACAGGCTGCACACAGGGATCTCCTCCTCTCAGTCTTCCACCCTGCGAATACTCCACAGCCTCTCCAAGCTGAGTGAGCAGAAAGCCTGCCTGTTTTTCAAAGGCTCTGCCTTGTCAATCGCACACACACCTTGATGAAAATTGCCCTGCCTGCAAAAGGACTTCTCAGCAGTTTTTTAAAGCAACACTACCAAGAATGAAATTGGAGACAGCCAGAATGTTTAGGGAAGAAGGAAAGGAAGCAGTTAATAAGCTAAGTAAGAAAGGCATTCGCCCTTCGAAAACTTGCATTTCCATAAATGTGATAAGTTGCCCCCTTTTCAGGTAATGGGGGGGGGAGTAAATGCTTTCCTTTTAATTTGTTATTAAAACTCAGTGCACTACAGTACTTATAGATGGGAGCCAGATTGACCAGCCAGGATCTGTCATAAATAACACCACAAATGCACCATGCAAGTTTATTTAGGCAGGGGGGGGGAGAAACTGCTTGCATAAGCTCGGGCAAAAGGATTGTGTAGCTGTTTTCTGTCCCCACTCCATTCCTGCTTCTTAACTCCGAGAGGAATTTAGCTGACACCCCTCCCCTTCCAGACCCATAAGCTCCGCCTCCCCCAAGCTACTCTCACCGGCAGTGAGAGGTAAACGCTGAAAAGCTTGCATGAAGAAGCACTGAAAAGTGCCTCGAATGGACGCAGATGCTTAGGTTTGTTTTCATTATATAAAAAAACCACCCTACAATTCTTTTCCCCCCTTCCCCATTACATGGGCCATCCCTTTCTACTTCCTTTGAATGAATTAATCAGGGGATGGCCACTACCAATCCGCAGTTCTGGAGGGGTGGGCAAGGAATTGGGATGCAAAAGGGAGGGAAGAAGAGAGGAGACGGTTTGCAATGTAGCATTATAGAATGGGGATTAAACCTCCAGGAAATCTTACCGTCACAACAGCCAGATAATGCCTATCGTACTCTCAGAGATATCTTTAGTTGATCGGCTGGTTTTAATAATAACCCTAGGACTCTTTTTGAGTGAGAGAGAGGGGGGGGGGAAGAGAAAACTTGCTGAGTAATATTTTTCCGGCGTATAAGACGACCCCCCACTTTTGCGAAGATTTTAAGTGTTTAGAAAGTCGTCTTATACGCCGGAATATACGGTAGTTAAGGGAATGTGCTTTAATTTAGGCAGGGTATTGTAATAGTAACCTTACATCTATCAAAGCCACTTTCTACTTCAGTCTATACCTAATATAAATAAAATAAAGCTCTTTCTCCTTTTTTTGTAATATATTTTATTGATTTTTCAAAAAAACATAAATCACTTAATAATTGGTAAACAGTGTGTGGTCTGAGCTACATTTGTAAAACAATCACTAACAACTGATTTCTATAATCCATAATCCACATAATAGTTTAGTTGATTTCCTCTTCTCCCAAAATACTATATTCTCTTTTGCAAACATTGACTTAATACAATTCTTATTGTTTTTATAGATAACAGTTAAATATATATTTTTTCCCAATAGTCCTAAAAATAATAATCACATCAATATAATATTCCTTTTCTATCCAATCATTCTGGTTGCCTTATCATAGATCCTGTTACAGTCCTTATTTTAGTTTGTTTCTCCCATTAAATTCTAAATATTCTTACTGGTTAAGATTTTCTCAAAAATTAATTACATTTAAGAATTTAACTCTATTTTTCCATATGAACCATCTCATACTTTTACATTTCTTAAGGAATAGATAAAACATGAAAAAAAAGAAAAGAGAGCAAGAGTAAAGAAACATAAAAATAACATACTACTTAAAATATATATCCCTCCTAAGCTAATATATATTTATTTTCTAAATTTCTTATTCTTTTTAACCATAATTAAAATATATTTAATCTTTAAATATTCCATTTAATACATCTAGTCATCTAATCCTTTAACTCTTATTCAAAACATTTTATCCATTATAATTTTCTTAAATTCGATCACATTTAAATATCTAAAACATTTCCTTTATCTAAGTCATTTCAACTTTTTTATATTACTCATATCAAGAAAAAGAATAAAAAAGAGAAAAAGCATACTATATTATTTTTAGAGAATTTATCGCTTTTAGAGTGACATATATATTCCAAAACTTTTCTATTTCTTTAACCATATTCAAACACGTTTCTTTTTTAAGTATTCTCTCTGGTAAGTCCCATCATCTATTTTCTTAGTTTCCACTTTAGTCTTTTTCTTTTGCCCAGTGTCTGTCTTAATCAATGTATTTTGCTGAATTAAAAAGGTTTTCTGTATGTCCATAAATGTTACTGTATATATAAAAAGTAAATCAGGAAAAGTGTCTTTGTATGGGACTTCTGCCTTTCCATGTTTGTTGAAAATCTTTTTCTTTCTCTCCGCTTCTCTTATCATTTTTTTTTCTCTCCAATGTTCCTGACATCTCTACAGTCCATTTTATCCGATCTGTTTTCTTGTTCTCAGATTTATTGTGTAGTCTTAAGGGATAAGTTGTTTTTTCCAATTCTTGTGAATTTTTTTCCACTAGAATTAAATCATGTTTCCTTGTTTTGTTAAGTTCTATCTTTAAGTCTCTATTTTCAGTTCTATATCCGTGTATCTGTTTTATATGCTCCTTCTCTGTTGCTGTTTTCTAGGATTTTTTTGTTGTAAACTTGGAAATAGATTGATTTATATTTTCAAACTTGTTTTGGATAACTTTGTGGTTTAAAGTCATTATTGTTTGAATTAGTTGCAGTATATCTCCTCCTGTGATGTATTTATGTTTTCTTGATATGTTCTTTCTACATGTCTCTGATCCATGACAGCCAAGAATTTGAATTTTCCTCTTCATTCTTTTCTCTGTAAATAGCTTTAGAGTCCCAATTAGTTAGACATTTGTAATCCAAATAGTTCAAAAAAGATTTTTTTCTGAAATTTGTAATTCTCTCTTTGTCTACAGCCCAGATTATTGTCTTTTTTTGTCACAGCTGTTGTTTGTTGTTAAAGCTTTGAAGGTCACAGACACAGATTAGCTTTTCCCAGATTTTGCCAAATCTTATATTAAAGTCATAGTCTTCATCTGCCACTAGGTGTCAGCAACTATTTGTTTTTCAATTTCCAAAATGAACAATTATCTTTGAAATGAGAGTCTTAACCATTAAAACAATTTTAGATTTATCCAGATTTAAGTTTTAATTTTTTTATTTATTTCACTTCCATATATTTTGATCCTCCATAAAAAGATTAATTCACCGTTTCCATTAGTGTAAGGGTGGGGCAGAAATTCCCCTCCTTCCCTTTCAGAGGTATTTTGCTTCTTGGGGATCTTTTCCAGGAAATTAAATATAAAATAGGAAAGAGATGATCAAATTCCTCACTTAGTTTCAAGCACGCGGTTCACAGTTGTGCTGGTTAGTGCTTTGGGACTTCGGTTGCAAGTAGCTTGGGCTGGTCGATGCAATACGGCCAGCCTTTCTCCTGTCGGGTTATAAGGCTTTCCCCAAGTCAAACGGAAAGGCCGCCACTGTTTCAGAATCACTGGAGCACCCTTCTTTCTTTGTTGCCTCGGGTGACTTAGACCCATTTAGGGTCCCCTGGCAGGATGAAATTAGCCATGGGAGTGCAGAGAATTCGCAAGCCCGTGACCGGTCGCTACCGCGCAAAACCAGAAGTCTTTCTCATCTTTACTACTCTCCCTGAGTTAGATATATGCAATTTCTATCTTATTTCCATTCTGGGAAACTAAAGGTATCTACAGTATTAACACACAATTTTGTTTTTAGATTGATACAAAAGGTTGAATGCTTTGCTATTTGAAATATTTTTTATTTCTGCATTTATTTCAGGATAAAACTGCTAGAACATGAATAATATTTGGTACATATTTTTCAAACAACTAACCAGTGAATCATTTTATTCAACTTTATCTTATAAAGCAGCCTCTTCCAGTCTGGTACCTTTTAGATTGTTGAGATTATACTTTTCAGAATTACCAGCCATATTTGATTGGGAAATAACTGATCACAACTTCTACTCACCCAAGATTTAAGTGTTTGAGCTTCTGAAGGCTGCTGATCTGAGTTGGCAGCTCCTCAATCTGATTGTTGAAAAAATTGAGTACTTCTAAATTCCTCAGATCTGCAATATTTGGAGGCACCGCTGCAAAGAGAAAGAAAATACCCTTAAAGCAAGGTAGGGCACACAAATCACATCAGCCCAGTTCAATGAATGGAAATTTTGTTTAAACCATATCGCATATACACAGGCAATAGCAAAATCAGTTGATATTAGATATGTTGTCATTTTAAGGGAAAATATGCCCTTAAAAATATCTTATCTTTGGATTGCTAACAGCTTCTGAAACTTGGCTTCACCTGTAGGTCCTCAAGGGATTTTTGCATACAATTTGGCAGAAGAAATAATAGACCATCCCCACTTGTATTTAACCACATAAACATGATCTGGCAGCAACTTCTTTCAGCATAGTATTGATAATATCCAGTTTCCTCCCAGTCATAAAACAGTTTTAAACCATCATTAGTTGCATCAGTTTTATTTTCAGTACTTTTATACCACTTGGCTCAATCATGATTTATGAGTTCATATCTATTATACTATTAAAACTTTCCTGTTTCTCTGTTTGTAACCTTCAATTACCTGAACTTTTGAATCATAGCAATTTTTTAATCAAAGTATCTAAAATGCAGTAATTTAAAGAATGTGTATAAAATCTGGGACTTTTATTCCTGTGGATTTGAAATTTCAAGCATTTTCAGATCAATTGTATTTGCAAAGTTGTGATCATTACAATACTGTTGCAATGTGCAATGTGCTACAGTCACATGGTCATGATTTTCAACACTCCCTGCCAGTTTCCCACAATTAATGACAAAATGGAAGCCAGCAGGAAGTCAGAAATTACTCCAATCCCATTGCATTTTTGCTCACTCTTGGTCATTCTGTTAATCTGTTTAGGTAATTAAACATCTCGGAAAGGAGATCATGGTTTTCTAACAAAACATAAAAATACAGACACAGCAATACAGAATAAAGCAGGATAAAAAGAAAAATATTTGTTCTCAGAATCGGCAATTCTACTATATTCTGAATGCTTGTTCTAACAAAATAGTTTTCACTAATTTGCTGAAACTGGAAGCAGGGGAGGGTGGGGGGCGGGCAGGACAAGATATTTTAAAACATGAGGATTGAACTTCAGACCCAGGCTTCCTGAATTCTTGTATGGAGATCTTCAGCATCCCCTTTCTGCAGGCATACAAGGATTGGCAAGATTCTACCTGAGGCACCCAGAAACATGTTGCAGTGATCTAGTCATGTGGTGATGAGGGTGTGAGTCTCAGTCACCAAGAATTGAGCTATAGAGCTCAACTAATATAGATAACAAATATGAAGCTAATATTAGTGAGTAAAAAATATTGATGGTTTTAAGTCTTATTCAGATCATACTTTGGGACAGCTGACATTTTAAAAGAGCAGTGTATAACTCTCTTGTAGTCAAGGATTTAACCTTTGATAAGTACACCAGAATTTACACTTCAAAAATGGCAGAGGCAATCCTACACCTAATCCCATTAATTTTCAACAGAAGTTTAATCAACTTGGACATTTACTTCTGCAACATTTCAAACAATAAATTGGTAGCACCTATAAGAGAAAATCTACGGGCATGCACTCCTGCAGTCTCCAGCTATGCACCTCTGTTGTGACTAACATGCTTCCCAAAACTCTTAATGTTCTGGCAGGCTATAGCTTCATGATGAACAATGTTTAGGAACAAGCACCTGTACTGCATTCTTTACTTGGTAACTGTTATTTCATCAAAGTATGTAAACAAAACAACTCTATTCTATCATCTTTTGAAAGACCAATTGCCTTTGGCTTACTCTTAAGTGCTATTATTTATCCTGCTCCATCAAACTACCAGAATACTTCTATCTCATATGCTGTTTTAAGAACTGGAGCCTTAGCATGCTTTTTATTTCCTTTTACTTTTGGTTTTTCAGAATTTAAACTTTATTTCTCCTGCAGGTAATACAACTATAATATTAAATGGCTATTCAAAATGATATGCATTTGGTCTAAATTTAAATTTAAAGTTCAGTTAAAACTTAATCTTTATTTAAATTTTGGCTATTGAAATAAATAATACACTGATCAAGCCAGACCACTTTTGAGGCAATTCCGAGGAGGATCCTATTATGATCAATACTTAAAAAAAGCACATCAGATTAGTAACAAATCAATGTCTATCTATTATTCAGAAATATAAAAAGCCCTGATGCATGATATGAATACTACAGTTCAGATAAAGATTTAAACTCCATTGATTTAATTTTCTCTTTTATTTATTTAAGCAAAATCAAAGCAAGCAAATAATATTTATGGATTGGTAGGTGATCACATCTGATAAAGCTTTTTCTTATGTTCGCATATTTCAGAATTCTAATAGAAGTATATTTGGATAAATTGTGGAAGTAGCAGCAGATTACAGAATCTGAGTGATCTTGTCTTGAAGCAGAGCCCATGCAGTGCTGGATCTGAGTAATACCTTGATGGAAAACTTCCAGAGAATATCAAGCTGTAGACTAAGGAAAGTTAAAAAAACATCCTGGAGAGAACTAGTTGTTTTATGTAGACATGAGAAGTTTAACTCAATTTGAAGAAGATCTTACTTTGTTTTGGAGAAAATATCTGAAAGCATAAAGGCATATTGTCAGAATCCAATTATATTTCATCTTTAATTATCAAACATAGAAACTCCCAATTCTGCCTTCTCTGGATTCTGCCATAAGAGGGAGAAAAGGGGGAGAGCAAAGGGGCTTTATGGCCCTCACTTCCTTCAGCACACTTCAAAGGACTGAATGTGTGTTTATTGTGGCCTCTAAGCTTTAACATATCAAAGAAGAGTAATTGCCTTTCATGTAGTTATCTGAAGTCTCCATCCAGACGGAAGAAGAAAGGGGATGGAATTGTGATACTTGAAACTATCACTGGAAGGGGGGTTGATTGGGTGGGACTACTGGGGAACCCCTTAAAACCTTGAATGGGAGAGCTTGAACCCCAAGTCCTGTCTAGCATGCCTGCAACCATTTTCTCTTAATAAAGGATTCCTGTTGGAAGAGCTATTCCAAGAGTTCTGTCTTCTTAAGATGCAAAGTGGGGTGGGTCCTTACATTAGACAGGACTTGCAAAATTAATCCACCTGGAAGGTAGACCCTTGCCGGGGGATTTTGCAAAAATTTACCATGTCAGACAACGAAGCAAGAGAGGGAGAAAACTCCCTGGAAAGAGAGCCGCTGACCCAGTTGGAACCTTGCCAGATGTTGGGATCCGAGAGGCCAGATTTCTCAGAAGAAGAAGTGGTGGAGACACAGGACCACAAGCCTCGCTGGTCGATGGGCGTTGGAAAGAAAAGCGAGTGGGGAAAGGAATCAAGAAAAGTGACCCTGAGACGGGGAACCAAGCAACCAGAATGGAAGCAGGAGATGGAGAAATCCCTGCACGCAAGTGAAGAGGGAGGAAGCTGTATGCCGTACTCAGACTGGATCCTAGAGAGAGCTATTGACCTGATGAAGAGAACTCTCAGCTCCCTAGGAGAGGAGATTCCTGAGCCCTACGCCCGCCCCAGTTCCTGGAGCCACAAAGGGAGAGACACCGAGGGGGACGTGGAACCTGCAACCCCAGGGACATTTACTGATCCAGGAGCTCCCACCCCCTACCGGACCACAGATGGAAATCTGGACGGAAGACACTACCACCCACAATGGAGGCACCGATCCATTCCAAGACGTCCACCGTTGGAGGTGAAATTCAAAGGGGAGCCAACACGCTTGGGGTTTTTCCTAACCCAAGTCCTCAGCTACATGGAGGAATATGGGCAGGACATCCCCAGCGACAAAGCCCGCATCCGGATCGTGCAATCTGCCCTGGATGGACCAGCTGCAGATTGGGTGGTGAACCTGCATGACTCCAATGCCCCAGAACTCAGTAACTTCAACCGTTTCATGTCCTCGTTGAGAAGACGATTTGAAGACCCCCTGGCTGATCGCAAAGCCCGTGAAAGAATAACAACGATGAGGCAGGGCAAACGCCCAGTGGCTGAGTATACACAAGAATTCCGAGCCATTGCCAGCAAACTGAATTGGCCAGAAGACATCCTCCTTGGCCGTTTCAAAGACGGACTAAACTATGATCTATATGATGCTTGCCTGCCCCGAGGAGACCCACATCGACTTGAGGAATGGTACGTCTTGGCAGAGGAAGCAGAGATCGACATATTGAAGAGGCATCGCCGAGGAAAACAATGGAGCCGCCCCCCGCCTGAGCTGACACACCAACCGGTGAAATCATCGGATACAGCCAAGAAGCAGATGGGGTGTTTCAAGTGCGGAAGAGAAGGGCATCGAGCTGTAGAATGCCGCTCAAAGGCCCCCCAGCACAACCCAGACAGATCCCCAATCAACAAACCCAGAGGGTATTCAGCTAAGCCAAAAGAAACAGCCATGAAAATGATGGAAATTGCAGAAAACCCCACCTCTGCTCACCAAGGGGAAAGAACTCCAGCCTACACCACAGGGACGGTGGATGCCTCAGATGACAGCTCGGAAGGCGAACCCCTGGTAAGTGGACGCATCACACCCATCTTCAAAACAGTGACTATATTAATCCCCCCCATGCCCGAAGCTGTGAAGGTGAAAGCCTTAATAGACTCTGGCTGCACCCGCTGCCTCATTAGCCCAACACTAGTGGGGAATCTGGGCATCCCATCCAGGAGACTGGAACAACCAATCTCATTTGGCCAGCTAGATGGATCCATAGCAGGGGGGGTGCCAGCTACCCTAGCCACTCTGCCAATACACCTCTCCCTGGGCAACCATGAAGAGGACTTAACGTTTGTGGTGACCCCAGGTATGGAATGCCCAATGATTCTAGGGATGGAATGGTTGAAAAAATGGAACCCCTGGGTAAATTGGAGGACGACAGAAATCAAATTCCCGAAGGGGGACCCTATGGACTTAAAACCCCAAGAGAGGCTACCAGAATCAAGAATAGAAAAAGCATCCATAGGAGAGGAAAAAAGATTAACAGAAATACCAGAGGAATATAGGGACCTTGCTGAAGTCTTCAGTGAGGAGAGGGCG